TGAAAAGATGAAGCGAGGAAAGTGTTTTGCTCTAGACTGTAGCCTAGAGTGTGCAATGTGGTCAAAGGGGCCCACCTTTAGTGCCCCCCTTCCACTCCATTACCTCTTACCGCATCCCTAGGTAATCCCACCATCCCTCAGCTTACTAAGCAAGAGCTTAGTGTAGCCCATCACTTAGCGAATTGTAGGGCAATATCCCTGGCAAGGGCTGTCGCCCTGTGGCGCCATGCTTAGTTGTGTTCCTCATCTGTAACTCATGAGGCTCTTCAGACATCTCTGGACCCCTCAAGAAGCTGTTCTCATCAATCTGTTGGAATTGCTTGTGATTTACAGGTCCCATCAATGCATTTTCCCCAGTCCTTCACAACAAAACTGTCCAGATCCTAACAGATGACATTGCATTGATGTTATCTTGTCAACAAACAGAATCAGTCTCTTAGGCCTCTCATACCTGTGATCTCTGGTTCTGATGCTGCAAATACAACATAGATATCAGAACCACCCAGGTGTCACAGTGTCAAGGCAGATGCCCTTAGCATGCTAGACCTCTCAGTCCACAAGTAGTCTTTAGACAGCTTAGTTCTTCATCGCTTTGAAAGCTGGGTCTGCCCAGTGATCTCCATGTTCACTAAGAACAACTGCAAATGATTAGAATCTTGCAGCAGAAAGGACAGGGGCAGCAATTCCTTAGGCAGTGCATTTATGAGAACTTGACATACAACTCCTTTACATATTTTGCCATTCACCTCTCCTCACCAGGATTACTGTCAAGCTTTTGAGAAATACGACCAACTATATTCTGATAGCAGCCTTTTACCTATGCAAAACCTGCTTCCCATCTGTCCTTAGGATGGCCATCAGGAATGAGTCTCATACTACACTCCAAATGTCATGAAACTGAGATTCATCATGTTGAATCTGCCCTGCTAGTTCTCCACCAGGTCTCCTGTATTCTCCTGAATTCCAGAAAACTGTTAGTGAGATGTACTTACACTACAAAGTGAAAATGCTTCTGACTGTATGCTTCCACCATTCATATGAGCTTTTCATTTGTCCAGTTTATTCCAAAATGTGTGACCCTGGTCACTCAAGAAGAGTAGGTACTGCAAAATGAGCCAGTTTGGTGTAGTGGTTAGGAGTGCGGACTCTAATCTGGGAAAAACAGGTTTGATTCACCACTCTTCCACGTGCAGCTGCTAATGTGACCTTGGTTCAGTCAAAAGTCCTTTCAGAGCTGTTCTCTCAAGAGCAGTTCTCGAAAGAGCTCTCTCAGCCCCACCTACCTCACAGGATGTCTTATGGAGAGAGGAAGGGAAAGGGATTGTAAGCCGCTCTGAGACTCCTTCGGGTAGTGAAGGGCAGGGTATAAATCCAGTCTCCTCTTCTGTATGAGTAGGGTCTTGCAATATTCTCAGTGTGTGTGCATCTCTTGGTGATTTCCATGCATTGCCCTGCTGTTGCAGGTTCCTCTGTTTATTCTCAGCTAGTTGTTGCAGTTTTTTCAAAGGTTTGTGGAGACTTTATCCTCCAGTTCCAAACATTGTTCCTCTGTTGAACCTTCAGTTGGTTTTGTTGCTGTTGCTGAAACACCCTTTTGAACCTATGGCCTTCTATTATCTCTGTTTGCTGTGGTTAAAGATGTCCACTATGCTTAGACATTTGAATGTAAAGGGATAGTTTTGATCAGGCAGTGTTGAGCACCTCGTTTTTGTAAGATGCACCTATTTAGCTTTCTAATCCCGTCAGTGTGATACACAGAGATCTCAAAGAAGAGGAGTCGTTTTCTTACCGTATAAGATGTTCTTTTAGCAGTCATCTGTCTGCCCACTTTCCCACCCCCAATAGGTGCTTGTGTTTTTTTTTCTCCTGTTGCATCTTCAGAAGAGAAACTGGGTGCAGCTCCACCCTCCCTGATCCTATGTGTTTGTTGCTGTTGGGTGCTTGCTCATAAAGAATACCGCCAGTGCCGAAAAATAATTTAAAACTTACCGTAGTTCTAGAAGTTGCTCGAATCCCATCAGTGTGACTGCACAGATGATCATTTGAAGAACACCAGTTACACAGAAACAGCCTGTTCATGTCTTTGCTGTTGGAAGGGCACCCGGGCACCTTCAAAAATTAGCTTTCAAACGTTAGCCTTCAGGCAGGGCTCTGAAATCAAGATAGGGGAGGGGGTTTCATTTTCATGGCTTCTGTGTAGGCCTGCATGGGACTCTGCATGTGCACAGGCCTGCTGCAGACATTTTAGGTACAAAGATTTCTCCCTTCTAGCATTTTCTACAGCATTAGGAGCATTCCCCTTGTCCCCAACTGGACCAGCTTTTCCTGCCTAAAGTGGCATGCAATGGGGGGGGGGGGATGCTCCTTCCCTTAATCCTTCATTTGCTGCTGTGTAGGTAGGAGGTGTTTCCTCCCTTCTCCTTTAAGGTTTTTTGAGGCTTCTGAGGAGAACTCTTTTTCATCAGAAAGCCTTACATGAGGTAGAGAGAGCTTTTCTTTGAATGGGTCATTCTCCCTCCCCCCCAAATAATATTAGTAGTTTCGCATCTAATTCTTTGAACCGTGTTCAAAGTGTACCAAGCATGATACCAGAATGGTGCAAATGGACAATTGCTCCCTGTGCCTGTTTTGCTTGGGTGAATCTCATAATGTTGGTACGTGCAATGCTTGTGAGCAGTTCACTTCAAAGGCCTGACCTGAGAGGGCTGCCAGATTGAAAGTAGCATTATGGAAGAAGGCTTTGATGGCCCCTGAAGTTCAGCTACATCAGCCTGCTAAGGTGAGAAACCAGCCCGTATACTCTCAGTGGTGTCAGTGCCATTGGCCACGCCTTCAAATCAGGCTTGCTGACATGCCTACCCAGTCAGCTTTGGTTCCAGGAAGCTCTTCGGAGCCGCCTCCAAGAAAGTCAGATCATAAGCCCTCCTCCAATCTGTCCAGTTCCTCCTCACCATTGAGGAAGTCTGTACCTGAACCCAAGCGTCCAACCCTGCCTCAGACTCCATTGCCACATATAGAATGTGTCAAGAGCCTTCTTGGTTTTGAGGATGAGGTGAAGGAGGTTTGGGCCCCAGCCCCATTGTGTTCTAGATCTAAGAAGATAAAGTCTTCCCAGGATCCTGCTGGACCTGGTCCTGTGTTTTGCCAGCCACGTTAGTAGCCTTGTCCAATGCCCATGTATGTCTCCCAGTGGGGCACTCCAAACAACATTCCAGAGCATAGGGGGAGCTATAGAAGTGACCCACAAGAAAGTTGTAGGTGTTCAGACCTCTGCCAGTTGCCTCCTTTAAATTTTGTTCATGTTTTATTTGCATTTTTTGCCAGTCCGTCCTTTTGTATGCTACATTATCTCCTTGTGTGCCACATTCTCCCATCAATTGCTCTTAATCCCAAGTACATCCTCTTATACGTCTTCTTTTCAACATTCATTATAGCATTTTCTCCAAACTTTATCATACCTGTTTCCTCCCAGCTATGTCATTCTTAGCCTTTCACCCTTCCTAGCTAGTATAAATTGTGAACCCTTTGAGTACTGAAAGGCTGTTTTTTCCATGCTCGATGTAGTAACTAGCACATAGCCAGTAAAAGCATAGTGATGAGGTCAATTAAAGAGCAGAAATTGAGTATGATTAGTCTTCTGGAATACACTTTCGTGAACTCTTGCTTAAGTAATGGAATATGATAAGATTATTTCAGCCAAACTTATCTATAGTTTGTGATGCAAGTTGCAAATGTTCCTGATAGTGTGAGTTATAAATGCTTCCTGTCTTCACCAAAATTAACATTCTGATGAATTGACAAACTGAAGGATGCAGCTGTTGGGAAAACAGAAGCATAGAATTGCTAGTTATTGGAAATCTCCAGTTAAATTTGAAATCTGAAAGGGGCAGAGACATAATTTCTTCAGCTCATAAGTCTGTGACCCTCTTACGTATAGGTTAATTTAGTAGTTAATAAGTGGTAGTATTACAACATTTCACATGCTAAATCTGCAGGCCTTTTTGCATGGAAAATACTGTATGAAGCAGTTCAGAAACGGTCAGGATTATTTTAACTCTGTCTAAGTGGGGGGGATATAAAATTACTGAATATGTTTGTTCAAATCATATATGACATGATTCATGTAAATGTTCTATTCTGGTACCCACATAATTTGCATTGTGAGTGACTGCCATACTGCCAATGTAGTGTTTGAATTAGTTTGAGCCTGTAGTTAAGCTCTAAAATAACTTATGCATTTGTTTTAGAAGTTGGACACAACAGCATGTGGATTTCAACTGATACTTCCAATTCTGTGCTTGAGCCTCTAAAAGTTGTGTGGGCCAAATGCAGTGGATATCCCTCATATCCAGCACTGGTGAGTAATCAGTGCATAAGCAATATTTTCAAAGTAGACCTTTTCTAGAGCTGATTAGAAACTTGCCTCTGCTTATTGCAATTGCATGACTTTTTTTTCTTCAGAAGACACTCCAAATGTACTTTGTGTTTCCAATATTAGAAGTATCCCTTCTCGATATATAGCTTTAGATTGTCTTTAATTTATATTGGACTAGCTAATACGTCTGGACCATCGTAAATGACTGGCATTAGAGCAAGGGGTCCCCAGCATGGTGCCCGTGGATGCCGTGGTGCCCACCAACACCTTTCCTGGTGTCCACTCTTTAGAAAGTGTGTGGAGCCAGTTGGGGGTTTTGCCCAGCAGGGCTTCTGGGCTGGCCACTGGAGATCTGATTGACTGTGCAAATTAAAAAGCATCCTGTTACACAGAGCTTGTACTTGATACATTCATGAATTAATATTGGATTGATGCTTAACCTCACTCCCTAACATTTTGTGGTTGGCTCTACCTCCTCTGGCAGCCATTTTGTTGTTGCACCCACCACCCTATGTCAGAATGCCAAAGATGCTTGCAGGCTCCAAAAGGTTGGGGACCTTTGCATTAGAGTAAAATTACAGGAATGCACGGCTGTTTCATCGTGCAGTGAGTATAAACCTGATTTGGAAATCTAGCCATATCCAGTTGGTGGTGTAAGACATTTATGCATAGCTTGTTGGGGCCTTTGTAATAGATTCAGATACTTGTGAATAAGGGTAAGGGTTGGCCCCAGTTGCTTATTTTTAAGGCCTAATATAGTCAATGGGGTTGGACTTCAGAATTTTCAGTGTGACAGGTAACCACATTATACCACATTGTGGACTGTAACTGCCTAAGCCATGTGGAAGCTGTTAGTGCATTGCTTATCTAACATTGGAATCAGGTATGCATTAGTGTACACTCGCTGTGGGTATGTACTGAGATTTATTTGTAAAAGTGAATCCTTAAGAATATTGGCTGGTAATTTACAATACCATTTTAATATTTTATAGATAATTGATCCTAAAATGCCTCGTGTTGCTGGTCATCACAATGGTGTTACAATACCTGTGCCACCCCTTGATGTGTTGAAAATTGGAGAACAAATGCAGACCAAATCTGATGAGAAGCTTTTCTTGGTTTTGTTTTTTGACAATAAAAGAAGCTGGTATGTATCTTTTCCATTGAATCTACTTTTTAAGTGTAAAGGAATTTATATATGACCATTAGCAGGAATTTAGGAAGAGGCAGTGGAGACTGAGTTTTACAGTTCCCTATAGTGTTTAGGTGTGGACCCTGACAAAAAGTGTAGGACAGGAACTGTACACTATTTGGTGAAAGAAGCAGAGATACAGAATTGATACTTCATAAGTAGATAATCCTGTTTGAGAGTTTGTGCACATACTGAAAGTCCAGTTCTACACTGAAGAAAACATATTAAAAATGTTTGTCATGTCAAATTTTCTTTAACAAGAATTAGATCTGACAAGCTGAGGATCTGCAAAGATTCATAAGGCAAGGAGCTCCCACCTACCCCCTCCCCTCCTGCTGTTGGTTTCCTTCAAATCTGTAGTCATCCCAGGATTGCCAAGGCTCCAGTGCCTCAGTTGCTAGGCAGCCCCACCAAAATTAATCTTGTGAGATTTTGCATGGTCTTGGTTGGCATTTGCTGTGGTTTTTCCGGGGGGGGGGGTGTCTTCAAAATATTTTCTGTGTAGAAAAGTCCCCTACATCCATTCATTGCCCCATTATATGGATTTTTCAATCCACATTCCATGGCCATTGTTCAGAATTGGATATATAAAGATATTTCTGGAATATGTAACCAAAGTTTTTGCATCCTTGCTGGATCCAAATAAAGCAAACAATAAAGAGCACAAATGTTACTGGAATGCTGATTTCTCCATCTCTGTCTTTGCACTTCAAGCATACATTTTTTATTGTTGGGGGTTTTAATTGTCTGGATTGGAATATTGTGTGATGTTCCCTGCAAAAACTACCTAGCTGCTATATGAAAGTGAATAAAAATGGCCAAAATTACCAAGCAGGTGTGTTTCTTAATTTTTGGCTTTAGCCAGGAAATTTGGCATAGTAGTATATTTTGACATCATTTCCAGATATATGATGATAGGCATGGTTGTGTAGTCTGGATGGGATCACAGTCGCCCTGATAGAGCTGGTTCACATCCTGTTTCTGTAGGTCCTTTTGTCCATTACATCTCACTCTCATGGTCTCTGTTGAACAAAGATCTTACCATGACCATTTATGTGGTTATGGTCATTGATAAACCTTGTGAATCAAATACTGTGGAGTGATGTATATGTAAGACTTTGGTTCAAAGACTGTTCAAAAGTTATAGCTGGTGCAAAACCCTACTGCCTGTCTTCTAGTCATTGATAAATAAAGGGAATAATTGCTTGAGATCTTGCTCTTGCTCAGCTGTATTAGCTGCTGATTTGCTTCCAGGCAGAATTCATGCTACTGACTGTGACTTAATGAAGGACTGAGCAGCTGAGGCTTGGTTTATCTTGTGGAGTTCCTTCTCCTGTATGTCTCTCTGCTTCTTGAGAACTGTAGATGAGACTGCTCCATTTCCACAGGAAAAAAGGTTTAAGTGCACAAAGCAGGGACTTTTCTGTTGTAATACTGAGTATGAAATGTTCTTCCTGTTGAAGCTTGCTGGACAACAGCATTGCACAGATTTAGACAGCAGATTAAAGCTTTCTTATATCCTTTATGCTTTTAGCAGATATGGATACTTTTATGCTATTTCTCACTGTGTATTTTAAATGTGTTTCTAATTATGTCTATTATAAACCGTCTTGAGTGTTTTAAAGTGAAAAGCAGATATAGAGATCTTTTAAAAAATAAATTTTGCACAGGACATTAAATATTCTGCTCAGGGTTCTTAAAACATAGCACAATTATTAATTTGGTTTTTTTTTCCAATTATAGGCAATGGCTTCCAAAATCAAAAATGATTCCACTTGGGATTGATGAAACGATAGACAAGTTGAAAATGATGGAAGGTCGGAACTCAAGTATTCGCAAAGCTGTAAGAGTTGCTTTTGATCGTGCTATGAACCATCTAAGTAGAGTTCATGGTGAACCTGTCAGTGACTTCAGTGATATTGACTAGGGCGCAACCAAGGCACAAGAAATACCCCCTTCTTGTATAGACACCTACAGGTTAACCTCTGTGTCCAAGAATGTACCGAAGATACAAATTTGTAATCATTGATCCAGTGGCAGAGTTCTACCAACTTAACTGGTTGAGCAGTTCTTCAGAATCACCATTGCCATACTGATTATTATTGTGTTGCCGTTGGGAGGATTTTCCACTAAAATAACTTGTTCATAGTGTTCATAAAATGTACATATATGTATATTCATCTCTTAACTTATTCTGATTTTACAGGTAGCTTTTTTATTTCTTTTGTTTGCCTGGGAAAGGGATAGATTGTTGCTTCCGTTTCTTTCTGCATTTTGAGAAATAAATCTTTAGCACCACCTTCCAGCTTAGGGTGCAGAGAATTAAAATAACATCAAATAAGTTTGCCTAAATCATATGATATGGTGCTGCTTATGTATTACTATTTTTTTGTGATCTGTAGCTTTTTAACAAGACCTCTGAATGTTTGGTTTTTACATAAATCGTTACTCTTTGCACAAAGTACCCCATAGTTAAGGTGTAAATTTATAACACAGTGTATTTTAAGAGAGAAAACAGCATTATTGGGGGGCGGGGTACTTTGTGAGAAAGATGATGGAAGTAAAAAAATTATGCTCTTTATGTCACTTGAAAAATCACCAAAAAACGCTCCATTGTTACCCAAAATATCACTTTAGAAATTCTTTTATGTTTTACACAAAATTGGCTCAAAGCCTATTAGTATATTATTTCTTGCAAAACCATATTCCGTCTATCTCCCTGAGATTTTATGTGCCTCCCTGTGTTATATTTATTGTAGAAAATGTATTAATTTGCTTTATAAAGAAAAAATAAATGAGAAAGTATATTGATATACATTTTTATACAGGCACATAAGACAATTTGCTTTGGGGAAAAAGCTGTCTTGGAAATGGTTGTACAAAATAATTTGATGGGTTGTGTGTAATTTTGACTTCTTTTGTAACTTGTAATCTTTGTTTCCAATGAGGGGATTTATGTAACTTTTAATTTTAGAACACTTTGGTAGCAATAGAAACTTTGGATACATTTTTGTATGGTACATGTGATGTATATAGAATTAGTACTTTATTTTTATTTCAAAGAAGTAAAAGCATTACATTTAGGGAAGGAAAATGATACGGTGGGTTTGCAGTAATAACATTTTTATATTAAAAATAAAGTCAAAATATTGATTGTTGTAGGTATTTTATTTCTATGTTCACTGGAATACTGAATTTGTAACATGAAATGGCAAGGTATGTTTTCAGTGTGATTTATAATGTCTACATTATTTATAAGTGCACTGCATCGAACTCTTCAGTGATATCTTAAATACTGTACCAAGGTATATAATATGCAACACCAAATAATGCATAAGAATGCACGAAATATTTATGCCCAGCTTTTTTATAATGGGTTGGTAAAATATGGCAAAGCCAATACTTATAAATCTTTTTTAAAAATTTAATTGAATAGCATTCTTCATTGTAAAACCTGCTTGGATTTTTATTTTAAAGCTACAGCCAATTTTGGAATAGTTTCTAATGTTTTTATTCTCTATGGTTTGTAATACCCCCTTTAGAAGCTTGAAATAAAATTCCTTTCTCAAGTGATACTTTTGTCATGCATTTGGCCCCTTAAAATTTCTGCCTGAGGCCTAGAATGACCGTTCTAGCTGTAGTTCTTACAATAGAGATTGAATAGGACAATTTATATGAGGGGACTAATACAAACTTGCACATTAGACTATATTTTGGATCTGTACCCAATATAAAAATGAGCTGAAACTTAAGAGACATAAAGCAGTATTCATGATCACTAGGAACAAATGAGAAAATTACAGAAGTTGCAGTAATCAGTTTGTGCATTTTCGTATACAACATTGTTCACACAGATACGACTATTGCAGAGCCTCTTTTGTAAGCTCACAGGAGGAGACCAGTATTATCAGGCCAAAGACATTGCTGATTGGTTTACAAGACTTAAATGCAAAGTCTGATATAATCATGGTTGGATGAAAGTTGAAATAGTTGATTTGTGTGGATTTCAGGAGCTTCGTGGTTACTGTGCATGTTGATCTTAATTAAAAACGAGCAATAGCATCTGCCTCTTGCATGTTTGATTTTTATAGTCATGGTAGAAGTTAGTAGGTTGAGGGTGGATCGTATATTCATCACTGAGAACTATGCTGAAAGTGTGGATAAGTTAAGCTTTTAGGAGCTTCATGGCTAATGTGGGGGTTGATCTTAATGAGAAATGACCAATAGTGTCTGCCTCTTGCATTTTTGATTTTTATAGTCATGGTAGAAGTTGGTAGGTATGGGTGGATCATGTATTCATGGGCACAAACCAGATCACAAGCCAAAATTCAGCATGAACTTGGGCCAGTTTGGAGCTCAGGAACCGATGTTCAGGGAAGGCACCTTCCCAAAATGTTTACCCAACTTTTGGCCAGTTTGGTTTGGCTGTTCTGGCCCAGCCTTTGAAGGGGGGGAGCAAAACCAAAGGGTTAAATGGATCACAGCCATTTAAACTGAACAGCTCAGTGGGTCCACTGATCAGCTGTTAGGTTTAAGCGGCTGGCAGCCACTTAACCCTTCCTGGGCAATCCCCCCCCCCTTTCTCTTGGCTGCGGTGAGCCGTGGCCAAGAGAAAGAGGGAAAGGAAGTCCTTTCCTGGGTGATCCCCCCTTTCTTCTGACCCTGGTGAGCCGTGGCTGGGAGAAAAGGGGAACAGAACTTGCCAGTTCGGTTTGGGCAGGGTCTGTTCGATTTGGCGTTTGGCTTGTGGGCTGCCCCAAGCCACCCATTTTAGGTTTGTGCCCATCCCTACTGTGAACTATGCTGGAAGTATCCTGTCATCTACCTTTGTTCCTACATCAGTATTAACTGCACGCACCTTTCTGCATCTCTGTCATAGCTGGTGTATTGCTTATATGTACTGTATTGAAAACAAGACTTTTCTTTAAATGGGAGGGGGCTTTAAAAATATGGGAGGTCATCTTTAACTGGCAAACAAATTTATATGTACAGTTGCCCCCATTTTAATACTTGTGGCCTCTGTTGAGTTGGGGTTGTCTCTCCCACAGCCTTCAGAGAGACGCAAGAGAGTGTGCCTTCCAGCTGGGTCCTGCATGCTGGAAGTCCTGCTGCGTGCACTCCTCTTCTGTGCTTTGTTGATAGAGTTATTGAAAGCACAGAGGAAGAGAGGCCAGTGCCTCTGTCAGCTAGAGAGGAGGCTAGAAACTCGGTCCCCCCATCCAGTTGTCCGATGTATGGAACTGCTTTCCTTTGGTTGGGTGGGAAGGAAGGAAATCGGCCTGTGCTGAGGCGCAACTGGAGGAAAGTGAAGGTCCTGCAAGGGTACAGGCAGAGGGAATGGGCAAGGGAACCTAGTGACCCCTGGGCTGACATGTCCAGCTGTAGCAGCCCCAACAAGCCTCACAAAGGCTACTGTGGTAGCCTTAGTGTGGCATCACACTTGTAGAGAGATACACTCAGCTGGCAGAGAAAATGTGGCAGGTGACAAGCACCACTTTTCTCAGCAAGGTTGGACTGAATTACAATGTATGAGAGGAGGTGGTGGCAAGTGGTGTTGAGCAGAGAGGGAGCTGGAAAGGAAAGTTAAAGGCTAGTAGGAAGACACCTTATGCTGGTTGGCTGGCTTACCTTGAAAGGTGTCTTAAATTATTTTGTTTGCAAAATTCATAATCCAACTTCCTGGCCTCATCAGGGCCACCAAGGTGGCTAACAGATTAAAAACACCCCTTAAACACCAATGAAAGCAAACCAATACATTATTACACACAACTTAATATACCCAAAGAAAAACAAATACATAGAATGGGAAGGATCACTGAGGGAATGCCAATGATCTTCACCTGTTGGTAGAAGATGCCAACAGCTTGGGACAGGTGAGTCTTCCTGGGGTGAGAGTTCTAGAGTTTTGGTACCATGGTCAAGAAGGCCCTTTCCTAGATTTCCACCCATCTAATCTCAGAATGTGGGGGCATGCCATGTAGAGCCTCAGGAGATAACCACAGTCATTGGGTAGGTTCATAAGGGAAAACATGTTGAATTCTTGGGTGTGAGTAAATATGGTAATCTTTGTTGCTGTGGAAGAAGACTCTAAATAAGATAGAAAGTTAGAAGAATTTGGGTCAAGTGTGAGCACCAAAAATTTGGCCACAATTGTAAACAGTAATCTTCCCTGTTCCTCCCCTTCCCAAATTAAAGGGCAGAGTAGGTCATAGGTGAGCACTTCCAGGTATTCTTGGATGGCACATCCGCTATTCAGGCTGGATTTGGAGAGCAAGACAGCTTTGATAGTTCTGTTGGACTGTCTTCACCTGTGAACATTTGACACCTTTGATCAAGCCATCTTATGTCAAACATGTGACTTTGCAGTGTTTCTAATCCTGCCTAAGTGAATATACACAGATTGGTGCAGGAAGAATTAGTAGGATCTCTGGTTGATGATGTGGGCTTCACTAGGATTCTGTTCCCAGTGTTGTTCAATATGTGTGTAAGAATGTTCAGTGATGCCATAACAAACTTGGACTTGTGTGTTACCAGTATGCTGATGACATATAGCTACATATACACCTTTAGGCTATCAGAAGATATCTTAGTTTCTGAAGCCTGTATTCCATCAGCTGAGAGAACAAGCTCAAACTGAATCCAGATGAGACAAAGGTGATACTGGCTGTAAAGATGTGTGCTAGGGAAAGGAATGCTTTGCCAGTTTTAAATGGCGAATTCAATTAAGAGCCTGTAGGTATTTCTGACTTTGCCATGTTGAAAGGAATGCCTTGTTTTGGTAACATCTGCCTCATAAACTGCGCTGTCTCCTGGATCCAGTATCTCTGGCCATCCTACTGAAATGGCAAGACTAGATTACCATAACTTACTTTACATAGGACAAAAAACTTATTAATGCAAAATGCAGCAGCCAGATTGTTGCCTGGAACAAGTAGGCCCGGTCATATTACCGGCATTTGCATTACCTGCCAGTCTTCTTTAGGTGTTCAATTCAAAGCCTTGGTTTCAACAGTTAAAGCCCTATGTGGCCTAGGCTCCACATATTTAGTGGACTGCTGCATCAGTTAACAGTTCCTGAGGACACCCCCCTCCTTTCTGCAGAGCTTACTAATCATCCCCTTAATAAGAGAGGTAACACCTTTGGCAGCTCAAATTAGGACTTTTTTTTTCTGGAGTGGTCCCCTGTAATGGGCTGTGTGATACTCTACCACTCTTCAGGAAAACATGCCTACATCACTGCTTTTGACCTGTCATTCTGGCTTGATTATGATTGTGTGGTTTTGCTTTAATTGCCCCCCAAAGGCCTTTCTATTGCCTCTGAAGGTGTTGTATATGCCCAGTGGGATTTCTCCTTTTTGTCCCTTTGTGTAGAAGACACACATACACCACTGCTGTGTCACAAATTGCTTAAGAGTATCAAATCATAGAAAAAACCCAGGGAAACGCTATAGCTTATAGAGTATGCAATATTTATAGTGTGCAATTTTATAAGAAGACTATATCTCAAAGAAGTAAGTACAACATTTAAGTACAAAAATACAAAGAGGTGGCCTATGCTAACGAAGGCTCCGGATTCTTCTCTTCGTTTCGTGAATTCCACTTCCCCAGAAGTAAATATTCTTACTACAAAGTAGATTGTAACATAATTTATGTAAATATTAATATATCTAATAATTATTATATAAATATGAATATACATTTGAATTGGACCCTAAAAATTCTTTATAATAAAATATTCTATACCACAGTTTGTTGTTATTTCTTTCTCTGAACGATGTTGAAATATCAATATACAGATCTGTAACAATATAACATTAGTGTACATATCTATCTTCAGTATATCATTTTACATTAAACCACTTCACCAGTATGATAACATTAATATACATATACATCTTCAATACATCATTTAACAATAAACATCTTCAACAAAAATTATGCAGCAATTATACACTCACCAAAAATCTTGTACAGTTTCAAATAATCATCAAATTACCGATACTCTCCTCGGGCACTAGGCAAATGCAGCAACTGCTTATCCACGCTAGAATGCCTTAAGGCATAAGATTACCTCAGTGCTTATATAGAAACTATTTTAAAGTGATAC